ACAGAGTGAGACTCCAACTAAAAAAAAAAAAAATTGGAATACTATTACATCCCCACTGAACTGTCATGAGGATGTGCAAGGCATGAGGTGTGATAAAGCACTTAGCACCAAGCCTGGCACACGGGCGAGCTCAGCTATGCCCCATGCACCAGCCATGCCCAGCTTCTTGGGTTTGCCAAGCACTTGAACAGCCTCATGCTTTTGCATAACTGTTTTCTCTTCTTAGTAGCCAACTCCTATTCATCCTTGAACGCCTCTTGACCCTTTCCCACCTCTTACAGAATTGTAACGCTGGAAAAATCACTTCCTGTGACACCCCTGCTAGGGCTCCCTTCACTGTACTCATCACACAGAGAGGCAACCATTGTCTGTTTATGCTGTCTCCCGGCACTGGCTCAGGCTTTTTGAGGGCAGGGCCATGTCTGAATCATTTCCAAGGCCCAGTGCCCAGAGCCCACGCCTGGCATGAAGTGGATTTCAATACAAGTTTGCATGACCTTAAATGCACGTGGTCAGGACCCAGCCCCTGCTGACTCCAGGTCAAACTTATATATCAGAAAGGGTAAAAAGCAACCAGATTTGTTAGTCACAGATGGCAGTAAGTGGGTGGGTGGGGTGGGGGGGGCAGCCTTGAGACAGGTCTGTCCTGGGAGGGGTTGAAGGGGACACAGTCCTTGCTAGGAGAATAAATAGCCTGGTTCCAATGTTGTCTCCTTCAGGAGCCTTCTCTGGTTCCTAAATTGTCCCCTTTCTCCGCCATACCCACAAGACATTAGCAGGAGGAATCCCAGATGATGTCCAGGAGTGTCACCTGTCTTGCTGACTGACCCCCAACTCAGACGCAGAGGTCTTTGTGGTCACAGGGCACATTTGGGTGGGGACTATGACCCAGGGGTTTGGGACCCCAGGTCACAGTGGCTCAGCACGAAGGATCTAAGGCTGGGTACTGCTCCACATCTCCCTAAATCCCAGGGGAACCATTTCCTGAGAACATCCCAGGTCTGAGACTTCTGGAGACTTCAGCCTGGGAAGGGAGCTGTGCTTTGCCCACCAAGGGCATCCCTTCCCCTAACGTGCCCAAGGCCCATCTCAGTGCCTAAGCCCCCAGCCTCCAAGTGCTATTCAACTCGTGCAGGAGTGACAGCATCTCAGCTTTTGTTCCAAAAAAATGGCTGTCAAAGGGAAACGAGGTATATTGTTTTTCTTTTTTCTTTTGTTTGAGACAAAGACGTCAGTTTCTTTCCATGTGTCCCAAAAAGGGAAGAAAATTAAATTTGTTTTTACAAGGATGTCAGCACACCACTTCAATAGGGAGCCAGGGGTGCATTACTGAGGCAGCGTCTCAAGGGGGGGAGGGGGGGAGAAGGGATGAGGCATGGGGGAGGCACAGGGAACAAGGACAGACACGGGAAGCAAAGATCTGGGAGTGCCTGAATGAAACACTGAACCAGTGAAGAGAAAAACTTCTGTGCCCGACTCTGGGTGGACACTGCCCTCAGCAGATGGAAGGGGGCATTGGGCACAGCAGATGGGGGACCTGAGGAGCCTAAGAGGAACGGGACGGGGGGCACACGTTGACACCAGCATCACAGGTATAAAACTCCTTCCTCCAGTTCCTTCCAAGTCAGGTGCTGCTGGGAGCAGTTCCAGTTCATTGACACCAGACACATGGGGTGCAGCCAGACGCTAGGAGAAGAGAATTCCATCGAGGTTCTTATGAGGGGCCCAAGAGGTTCTTATGAGGGGCCCAAGATGCGGCACCAAGTCCACACTAAGGCTTCTCTTCCTCCCCCACCCCCCAGTCCCAGGTACCACTTACCATCCACAGGGCTCTAAGTAGGTGGTCCTCTGTCCTTCAGTACCTGGGCCAGAGAAGCCAGGCCCTAAGGATTTGTGAAAAGTGTCCACCCTCCAGCTTGAGGACCTCAAAGCAGAAGCCCCTCCCCTCTGCCCTGGTCCACCTGCCACAACCACTGGCACAGAGGCCCCATCCAAGCTTGAGTTTTGTAGCTGCAGAACCTTCTGGCTCCTTTCTGAGCCTCTGGGCCCCGGTTAGAACTCAGGTCTGGGGACCCTACCCCAACCCAGGCCCTGTGTCATGCTCTGTTCTGGAGCCACTGGCTCCACTCCACTGTCCTGTCCCAAGATCACTGGGATGCAGGGCTGTAGCCACTTCAAGGCTGAGGTATCCCTGTCCATTCCAAGGAAATAAATGACTGTCAAAGAGGAAAAAAGGAGGCTGGGCACGGTGGCTCACGTCTATAATCCCAGCATTTTGGGAGGCCAAGGTGAGAGCCCAGAGGTTCGAGACCGGCCTGGGCAACTTGGTGAGACCTCATCTCTACAATACATCAAGAAAAATTAGCTGGATGTGGTGGCACATGCCTGCGGTTCCAGCTACTTAGGAGGCTGAGGCAGAAGGATCACCTGAGCCCAGCAGGTCGAGGCTGTGGTGGCTGTGAGCGTGCCACTGCACTCCAGCCTGGGCGACAGAGTAAGACTGACTCAAAAAGAGAAGAGAGAGAGAGAGAGAGAGAGAGAAAGGTTAATGTTTCTCTCTCTCTCCCTGTTTCTTTGCCCTCAGCCTCTTTTATATTCTCTTTATTTATAAAGACACCAAGTTGGACCTAGACCTCAGTAAGCCCCATCCCTTGCTAGAACTCAGGGCTGGGACTGACCCCCGAAGTTGAGGCTGTACCCCCTGCACGCAGGTCCCCTATCTCACGACCAAATCTTGAGGTGGAGCCACACCTGACCGTCCAGTCGCTCCGTCGGGCCCTAGAAGAGCTACACACTACATACAGGCCTACCTAGTCTTGCAGTTCAGTTCTCAAGCAACTCATCCCAGCTGGGTCCTGGGATCCTCTGGGTTAGAACTCGAGATTGTCCCAAAGTGGAGGCCCTGCTCCGCTGGAGTACAGTTCCAGAGCCCCCCCCCCCCCCCCGTCATCGACCATGCCCCCAGCCTGGGGACACAGCCCCACGGATCTGCCCTCTGCCCCACCTAATCAGAGACACACTCGACTGCCCATCTCGCCTGCCTGGCCCCCTTCTAAAACAGAGGCCCCGCCTGGCGGCCCCAAGCCCC